GAAGTGTCAGACAGAGGTATAGTGCATGGAGTATAGTTAACATGATTTGAGAGTTACAGGTACAGATTATCTTGTGGGGTTGTAATGTTGTGGCCGTAACAGCAACCTGCTTCAAGGTAGGGCAGGTCTGGGTGTTAAATGTTCCAAGTGATAGTGTTCAGAAAAGATAGGAAGGGAAATAAACAGGAGAGGGGGTGGCATTTTGGCTTAAGGAGAGCATTGCAAAACTGGATAAAGAGGATATTTTGGAGGACAGAATCGATTTGGTGACAGCTACATATTGCTTGGTGTAATCTGTAGACCGTCAGCTAGCGCGAAGGATATAGAGAAACAAATCTGTAAGGAATTTACAAAGAGCTTTAATCATCGTAGAGTAGTTATAATTGGCAATTTTAAATACCCATATGACTGGGTAATGGTAGTGAGAGGGGCAGGTATTCCTGGATTGTCTTCATGAGAATTTCCTGCAGCATTGTGTCCAGTCCAACAACAAGAGCCAGAGCTTGGCTTAGTTTTCAGGAAGGAGGTGGGCCAAGTAAATGAAACGACAGTGGGGAAGCAGTAATCATTGCATTGTGATGTTTAGGAAGATGGTGGAAAATGATATGAGTCAACTTAGAGTAAGAAGATCAACTACTGGGGAGCCAACTTCACTGGGCCAAGAACTAAGCCTGTACTCTGTAGAGTTTTGAAGAATGTGAGGTGATTTCGTTGAAACTTACAAAATACGTAATGGGATAGTGAGGGTTTAAACTTCATAAGGAAGGGGGTCTTGGATAGCCTGGATAGTGCTTAAAGTTGATAAGGTAGGATAAGATGCAGCATCCAAGGATAGTCTTCCCTAGATTTGTCGGTGGTGCTGGCTGACTGGAGAATTGCAAACTTTATGCCTTTGTTCAGTACCCTGTTCCTGCATTCTCCCCTTATCCTTTGATCCCTTTAGTCCTAATAACAATATCTAACTTGATATAATACTCTGGCCTCAACCACTTTCTGTGGCAGAGAATTCCACAAGTTCTCATGGTGAAGAAATTTCTCCTCATCTCTGTCCTTAGTGGCCTACTCGGTATAATTAAACAGTGACCCCTGGTTCTGGATAATAAAACAGTTGCAGAATGAAATGCCAGTTGGAGGAGTTAGGGGCAAAGAAGGTTTGAAATTGTTAAAGTTAATGGCCACGAGAATTAATCGCCAGAGATTTGCAGAACATCAGTTGCTGCTGTCTTCATTAAACCAGTGATTGCAGTTGTGTGTGTGTGTGTAAATACAGTAAATGGCTTCTATCAGATTACTCTTAAACGGGACCATATTGTTGGTTAAAATTGATTCAGAGGAATGTGAACCAAGTTGTAAAGTGCAGTTAAGTAAGTTGCATTAATTATGGACACTAACCTTTGACAAAATAATATCTTCTTGTAAGGGGAAATATGACTTGACATTGGGAGGAGAGAATACAAAAAAAATGTGTACATTTAAGTTGGTTTAAAACGTTGTTGCATGCTCCATACTTATAACCTTTTGGGACATTGTATTATCTTGGTTTATCTGCTTGGTAAACGTGTGATTTTTTAAAAAAAAA